TCATGGGTTGAATGCAATTTAATAGCCTTTATTTCTAGTATAGGTTCATGAAGGATGTGTGCAGTAAACAGCATCTTAAATGAAATATGTGCTGCTAGCAGTCCCACTTAACTGAGCTTTTTCCTCCTCTCAATATAAAAGAGCAAGCCATTGCTGCTTTCTTTACTTGTGCAATTTAGTCAAGCTGTGTGTATGAATTAAATGCTGTATTTTTGCAAAGGGTTAACAGGATTTGTTATTCATCAATCAGGAATTATAATAAGAAAAGGGCTTTGGCATGATTCTGATCTTGTATCAGCTTTACATCAGCATAACGCTATTGATGTCAGTGAGGTTGTTCCGATTTACACCAACTTGAATTCAGATTCAAAACACTTTGCATTCCTCTTCTATGTCTGTCTGTGTGAATATGTAGTGCTGAAAGGTGTCAGATTCCCAGCCCTAGGGATTAACTTTCTATTTATTCAACGGGGACAAAAGAAGCAGTAGCAGTTCAGTCTTCCCACACAGAGCCCTACCAATGTGACTCAGTCCTGACCTGCCTCTAGGGCAGAGAGGATAATTCATTCTCCATGCCTGCCTAAGCAGTCTTTAGCCTCTCCAAGCAGCATGAGAAGAGTGTGAATTACTGCTGTTTGCAACACGGTCACCTATCCACTGGAAAATGGAGTAAGACCACAAACAGCTCGCAGTTATGACTTCTGACCACAACTAACCTGAATTGATTTTAAAACTAGTGACTTAAAGGACCAAATCTCTGAATTCTATAACCAATCTGTTCAGACATCCAAGATAAAAGATTCTTCTTTATTTTACAACTGAAAAAGTAGCACAGGAAATCAGTCATCAATAATGCACATTTCCCCAAAGTCTTGCACATCAGATAGTCAGATATACATTTTCAAGGTACTTTGAATCCTAGCAGTGCTCTATACCTACTTTACATGCATGTAAAAATGACTACTCAGACTCCAAAGAAGGTAGTGTGGTACATCAGAACTTAATAGTTTATTAGTTAACTACATTGGATAATATCAAAATTATTCTGACATCCAGAGCTGGTGAGACAAAACCAGATATTGATTTAAGAAAACTCTTTACTGTTGCTGTAGACTTGCACTTCTTAAGGGAGGAAAGAAATCCAGCACACTAGTAAATGACTGTAATAAGATGATAGTAATGCATAGAAGTGCTTTCCTGGGTTCCAATGCAATGCTTTGAACAAGTCATTTGTGCTTTGCATGCCTCATTATTCCCTCCTTTTGTAAAAGGAGGATAAAAGTGCTTCTCTTTGAAAAGTGTGCTAAGTGCTTCAGATAAAAGTAGTTAGATAAGTGCAAATTATTTTAATTATTCATTTATATTAAGAAAATGTCCATTTTTTTATTACATGCTTTGCTTTGGTCCAAGGAATGCATCTTGTTTGCGATTCAAAGTTTACCCGGATTTTAATATATGTTTCTCTGTGCGAGGAAATTATCAGAATCTGTGGTACATTTGAACTGTATGCAACCTTTGGTCAGTAAGTTGTAGTAAAGTAAGCTGCATTATAAACTAGAAGATTAGCAGCCTAAAATGCAATGAGATCTGCTTGGGAAAAGGGCAAGCTTCATCAGCTAAGATGCTGCAATAGATGACTCGCTTCCCCCTGACTTAGGGATGGATCAAAGCCTCACACTGACATTACAGGGCTGTGCACTTCTGGAGGCATGCTCTGTTTGTTGTACACTATCCTGACAATCTACCCATTTAGATTTTTTTCATGTCCAGATCTACTACTTTGCCAGAGTAAAGATTACTTAGTTATTGCTTCATAGTGATAATACTTTGGGAAGGTTTAGAGGAGTACTAGTACATATACACTATTACTTGAGTTGGCCTTCATATTTGGAAAATTGTCTTGGATGGCTATATGTTACAGCTCTATGCAAAGCTTAGTTGGCCCCCTGATCCTTAGGTACCATAAATGGCCACAAGCCTGCTGCTCTTTGTTCCAGACACAGCCTCCTTATATTGTCATCTCAATATTAATTCTCCTGCTAGCAAGGTTTGGCAAATTCCTTTTCAACCCTTTTTCTGTGTCAGCTTCCTCCATGAGACAACAAAAGAGTCTCCAACCCAACAACAAATACTGGATAGAGTGTGATGTCCAATGCAATTATAGCCATCTATTTGAGGTAGGAAATTCCATAATGCCATTCCAAGAGTAAGTGCTGTAGAGAACAAATCCAATTCAAGTAGGCAAAATGTGACTATCTAGAGTGTTTATTTTATTTCAGTTTAGTTCCTTATGTTTCTTATCCTGTTCAAAGTTGTTGAGTAGCGACAGCCACCACAAGGAAAAAAGAACTGCATTTAACTGCCTGGGGAAAAGGGACTACCTACTGGTGTGTATAGTAAAGATCATGGGAATGGCAAAAGTGGCTTTGAGTCTCCTTTACATTGCCCATATCCTGGATACAATCTGCACCAGAATGTTTCCTGGAATGTACTTGAAAAGCCTCTTCAGATTAAAAAACTACCCAAAAAAGCAACTTTATCTTACATCAGCTAGGCAAAGCTGATACTGGGGGTAATTCCAGAAGCCTTATCCACCTCCCCTTGAGCAGGTGCTATAGGAACCATTGCGACAGCTCTATTCTGTCCGAAGACCCTCCAGTACAGAGAGATCCCAAAAGAGGGCAGGTAATCAAGCTTCCTGGCTGCTTCATACTTACAGAGCACCCAGGATTCTAGCTCACAGGTCTGTAAATCAACTTAAGCTTCAGAATATACACATTACACAATATATTATTGGATTTCACCTAGCATTACTTAATGTCTTATTTTTCACTTGTTTGTGTTGTGAAAGGTTATACATACACACAGTATACTATCAGACATAACTAATGCCTCCTGTCTCCTTCAGTGGCTTTAGTTTCCAACAGATCTGTCTGTTTCATGTGTTCAAATAAAAGTTGAAGTGTTACCATTAAATTTCCACATACAAAATTAGCCTTTCAAGACAACTAATTCCCAGCATTGCTGTTTAACACCTTCCAAAGCTCATGTGCTGTTCAAGCTCTAGAATAGCTGACCTAGAAAGGTCTAATAGAGATTCAGGTCATAACAACTTCCATTCAATTCCATATAATTGCATATACAATATGGTAATAAATGATCAGCAAAATCCACTGATGTGCTTAGAAAAGAAAGTGAGGCTGAAGATTTTCTTAGGCCAATTCATTTTTATTTTCCTTGGTCTGGAGAAACACCCAGTATGGGAGGTTAGTAACTGGAGTCAAGATTTGTGTGGCTACATCCATTAAGCAGTCCTGAAAAATCTCTGCCTTCATATATTGTTTGTGATTCAAAGTGTATCCATATTTTCATGTCATAAATAGTCTTCTTATTTCTATAGGATTTTAAAATAAGCTCAGGATTGATAAATCAAAATGTTAGTTTATATTTTACATTTCAGACATTTGTGTTTATTGCTTCTGGGTTGGGCAGAAGACATTTCTATCTGAGCTTTGAAACCAGGAATGAGGAAGTAAGATGACATGAGTCAGTACTGCAAAGGAGTTTGTTCTGATGGTAAACACTAGCGAATTAAAAAACTAATGACAACAACATCAGCGGATCAAAAAAAGATGAAATCCTAACCCTTAACTGAAAGAGCTGGCACCAGACTGGAGTCTGTGTGCAAACCTTCACTTGGGAGTTTATTTCTGAGCTCAATACCAAACTTGAAGTGGGATGTTTTAAATCTCAATTCTGTTTCTTCTGCTTAACTGTCAGGTGCTTTTCTCCTATTTTAAAGCAAAGTCATCATAGATCAGCAAGCAAGTACTTTTTCAGCACAGTATCTCCAAACCCAACCCATGGAAAGGGTTCAAGGTTTCATCTATTCCACCTATGTAACTATTACAGATGTTAACCCTTCTTTCTGGTTCTCTCTCTCAGTAATTGTACCTTTGTAACAGAAGTACTGAAAACAGGCCCTTAGCCCCTTTTTATTTCACTTTTTGCTCTAAAATTAGGTCTTTATTAAGCATAATTTGAGATGATTGTGTGTCTGGGTTAGGTGAATGTTTTATCTGCATAACTGAACTTGGAACAATGGGCTACACTGTACACAATTCATAAAGAAATCAAGTTAATGAGTTTCATTTGAACTGAGAGAAGCCAGGAATGAGTCACAAAAAAAAAACAACCCCAACTGAGTCAATACTGGAAAGGAACTGTTTCTTCAAAACACAGACAGTTCAGCATAAGACAAAAGTGTGAATTTGCTACTCTTGACTGCAATTGCTGGCTATGTTTCTAGTTGTTAAAGATTGGGGTGGACCAAATTTTGGACAGAAATGAGCTCCTCCTGTCAGATCCGTTGGACAAGTTATAAGCTAAATAACACTGAACTTTTTTAGCAATTCAGACAGCTCAGACTGTTTCATGGGGTAAGGAATGATTTGTATGCATGTATACATGGCAGCTCACTGACTTCTGCCTCGTTCATATAGACAGATGTCATTTGTTTCTTATTCAGGCATATTAGCCAATACATTTTTGTTGGGGTTTTTTTGTTTTTTGGATTTTTTTGGGCGGGGGAGAGCTGTTTGTTTTTTAAGGTATGTGTCAGTATTTCTTTGATCACAACCTACCTCACTTCCCGCCCCCCCACAAGGTGGTAACTAACACATTCGAGAGAGGCATTTTAAGTATCTGGTTTTTAGTATAGGGCTGGTAAGTATGATTTGAGCAAGGTGACTAGATATATGAGAATGGCAGTATTGTCATTTTTTTCATGCTACTCGCTCTGGAGGAAACAGCTGCTGAAAGGAGGCTGCATGTCCCTCTTGAACACTAGGTAAATCCAAACAGGAACAAGTCTCCAGTGCACAGCATTAGTACGTTAATTGGGTACGGGCATTGAGGGCAGTCTGGAAAGAGAGGATGATTATCACAGTTAATGTCTAAGTAAACCCATCTTGTGACAATTTCATATCCTTGCAGCATCCCTTAGGGTCATTGTAAAACACAGAAACATGTAGTGCTATAGGCCTCCATCTACTCAAGCTTTCACAAAAAGAGGAACCAATTTCCAACAACACCAGAAGGAGCTGCAGGTGCCTGTACATGGATGCATCTCAAGAAGGTTGGGACAGTTTCTTTGAGCTAAGAGATAGGTAGGTGTCTGTACAACCTTTTGCACCTTTTACCACATTAAGTGAATATATCTATTGATGGAGGCTCTATCCACTGCTGAAGTTTCAAGAAGTTACTCTTCCAGAGCTTTGTTTGTTATGAACTAAATCTTCTATGTTTTCTGATTACATTAATGAGTATACTACTTGCCAGATAAGGAAACACAATATGCTTTTAGAGGAAAAAAATTAGCTTTTCCTTTTATTCTTTGTGAGCTGTATTTTTCTTTTGGATTTCAGAGTTTTCCCCAAATCTGACAGTTGGCAAGGTGCATGTTCTATGGCCACATAGCTGTTGTGAATTCAGTTTCTGCTTACAGCCCCAATAAATCTCTGGAAATCAGCTCTCAGCTGTAGGCATGTGGCATTTGGGATTCAGCCGAGTACAGACTATAAAGGAAAATATTCTAGAGACTGTTTTATGGATTTTCATTGTTCCTTGCAATTTTGATCTTTTTATTTTAAATTAGAAGTGTTCATGTCAGAAAAAGAATGGCTTTTCTCCCTTTCTTTTCACTCACATGTCTATTATCATTAGTAAACAAAAAAAAACCCAAACAAACAGAAAAAAATCTTTCCTTCCAAAACGGAGATATCAATTTATTAACATTTCAGTGGTGACCACATTATAAGGATACATATTTTTAAGAGAAGGGTTGCTGAACAACAAAAAGACAGACATTTATCATTCCCATTTATAATAAGGAAAGCAACATAGGGATGGAGGACTTGGGAAAGTCAGAAGAGAAGAAACTGAGAGAGAAACAAGTATTAGAATATTTAACTAAGTTCAGTGAAAGCTAGGAATATGCATAAATGTATTTGCTGAATTGGAATCACATAGGTTGAAACAGAGCAATTAAACCAAAATATAGAAGAATAAATTTTGGAGGAAACAAACAAAAGAATTAAGCAAAATAACTCAAAGATAGCAGTATGGGGAAAACAAACAAACCAATGGGGGGGGGGGGGAAGAGCCTTAAAAATTGATCAAAGAGAAAGAACATTAAAAACCTGGCTGAGAATTTTTGTATCAAGGTAAAGGAAGAAAGTGGCCTCTGATTATGGTGTACCTTCTAGAGAACACTGACAAATAAGATTTGTGAAGAAACAGCTACACTGAACGCGAGGCCAAGACCTTGGCCCAGGTCCGTTATTTTCCGCCTCAGCTTATTACACCCCTGATTACAGCCAGTCTTGTTCTGCAGAGCATACCTAGTACTGTCTAGCAGTGTCCAAGCCTCTCATCAGATGTAAGCAAACAACACCAACCAAATGTTATAACCCAAATATAAACCCCTCCTTTTCTCTTTGCTTCCTGTACCACCCCTAGTTAAGCAAGCTAGTTTCCCCTAGCCTGCCAAGAATTTCACCTAGATCAGCCTCACTCTAAATTGAAGGAAGTTCCATTCACCACTCAAACTACTTATCCCAGCATAACTAAAGGCAGGGTTTATATGACCCCAAGCCCAGGCCCCTTCTGGTTATCTGACCGAGTTCTCTCTAGGGCCAGATACTGTTGAATCCCTCATCAGCAGCCTGACCTTATGCAGCCAGTGGCTCAATTTACAAAAGGGGGCTTACACCTGGTACCCTTTGCCATCAGACTCATTGTAGACTTCCCCAGCTACCCTCCTCTTTCTCAGTAACAAGGGTCAGGGCTCCCTCTTACAAGTTACAAGATGCAATTTGTAAAACACTGGAAATAGGTGTGCATCCTCCTAGGTCCCCTGAAGCTGCAATAAGGTATTTTCCTGAATGTAACTGACCCCGTTTGTCCATGCACAAATCCAGAAGCTAGAATCCACCTATTTGTGAAAAAATGTTAGGGAAACTCTTCCCTGCAGTTTTGCAGGTCATTAGAACTACTTTGAGTGGCAGACAGTTTATGAGGCAGAGTCCTAGCTCATATTTATAAGTTTGATATGAGAGCAGAGTCCAATTACACACCTTTCAATATCTGTCATTCTGACAGTCACCCAAGACTGCACACACCAGTTAGAAGTGTAGTGGTCCTTAAGTGAAAAGAGGTGTGGTCCTTCAGTGCAGTTCAGTGAACCATATGTGCACTTAGATATTCTTGCAAGCATATGAGCTGTCTTCCCAATAGGTTGATGACAGCATGGTAAGTGGTCTCCAGGGCATCATGAAAGACAGTTGCAGTGTTACCTTGTTGCATATAATGCAAACAGAGCATTGACTGCTGAATCTTGCAGACTACCTGACATGGATTGCATTGGTACTGCCATTTTGGGCATGTCTCCTGAAAATCTCTAAAGGGGTATAATTACATGTTGCCTTCTTATCAGCATTAGGACATCTTCCAAGGAGCAAGAAAGTATAGGGAATACTTGAAAAAAAAATTCTGCAAGAGCCAAAAGTTCATACAGGAGACCTTTTTTTTTTTTTTAGGAAGATTACCCATGTATTGGGTAAGTATAACTATATTATAAGTAGGGGCAGATCCAAAGGGTTTCAGTGGTGCAGTTGCACACCCACCTTCCCTGCTTTAATTCCTGGTTCACCCAAATTTTTAAACCAACTACCTGAAAGTGGCAACAGCTCTTCTAGTCAGGTATCAGTGATGAAACAGTTGGTTTCATGGCTCATTATACTCCACCTGATTTCTTCTAAACTCTTAATTCCACAGGTGTTAATGATCCTCTCTCCTTTTTAGTGGTCTTAATGTTTCACAAACTAAGCTAGTCTTTTTTCCTGCAGTTTTATTTTTAATATGATAAAAATATGCATTGTGTTATATGTGATGATATACCACATCAATTGCACTCCCCCTTTTTAAAGACCTAGATCTGACCTGGGCTGTAAGTACCATAACTAAGTATCTATATATTGTGTAAGTGAGTTAATGATTGCACTGGATCTCTCTCAGAGAAAGTAGCTGCAGAAGGAGCATAAACAGTAGCTAAACAGACAACTATATGAGTAAAATGCATCTAAGACAGGACCACTGAATTAGTATTGGGACCTATTGCAAGTCAGCCTGAATGCTTTTGGTCTGACCTCTGGCATTTCTTACTATCCAAGATGCCTTTAATTTTTTTTTTCCATGAACCCAAAGTAGCACAGCTGTTATTTCCCATTAAACTTTGCCTTCTTGTGCTAGCTCCTGGGATTTTTTTAATATATATAAAGCTACTGTGATACAGCAACAACAACAACATCGTCTTTCCTTAAATAGGAACAGTTTCCTTAACATTTGCTCATCCTGTTCAGTTGCTACTATTAAGATTATCTGAGATTTTATTTTAATGCATTAATTTATTAAATATATTTGCCATATGTAATTTATATATAAATATACAATATAAATATAAAACATACTATTTTACAATATTTATATATATAATATTGTATTAAATATGTGCAAATTGAGCATGGCACTTAGATTACTGACACACAACCAATGAAGTCCACACTATTGTGAAGTTAGGCCTTCTTGATAGGCCTCCACTCATACAGAAATATAGCCTTCTTTCTCAGTGTGCTTCCAGAGCGGTCTTCTCTTCACACTCAGACTACCAATCATACTAATACATTTTGACTATTCAGTAGTTCTTCTAACCAGCTGACTACTTTAGCATCCTACCGATGCCCCTACTCATTAAAAACAGCTTAGCTGGCTTTGGAACCAGACACATGCACTTTTCATTGCATTATGCGCTGCAGAAGGTTGTGGATTATTTTGTATGACTGGAACCCTAATTCATAACAAAGAAGATTATGGTATTAAACAATGAAGAATTTTTGGTTTCATGAGGATTCAAATCCTTTAATTAATTTGCTAAAAACTATAGGATTTAAGGCTCCTGATAATCTTTTAGTGTAATTGATACTGCAGCAATTAATGCATTAATCAACATCATTAAAAATAATAGATTCAGGGTCAGATGCTCTGCCCCATGCATGTCTATCCCACTCTTGTGTGCTCAGATTGGCTGAAATATCAAATCTAGTTAATAACCATTTTGACAAAGGATTCTACCTGTATTTTAAGTTTGTACGACATTGTGCAAATGCTAAGTTGTAGTACTATTATTTTGCTGTTGTTGCAATTCTTACTCTTGCACATCACTCTTTCTTACTTCCCTTCAAAGTACATTTCATGAAACAAAGCATAAAAATTCACCATTGGTATAAATCGGGGATTGGCAACCTTTTCCCACGGCTCATGATTCAGCCCCTGCTGCAGGCTGTACCTCTATGCTCCCCAAGTAGTCAGTAGATGCTATAAAGGGCATAGATGAAGTAGGCAATAGGAACCTGGGAATACCTCCTCTCTGGCTCAAGTTGGAATGTGCTGTCAATTTCCTGAGCAGCCACACACCAGATCCAGTCTCTTCATAGGCTGGACCAGGTCCATGGGCCATAGGTTGCCCATTCCTGATATAAATAATAGTATGAGAAGTTCCTCATCGGTAAAGTGATAGAAAAATGCATACCCACTGCAGTGAAACATAGCCTTCTGCCATTCCCTGGGTAAATAGGCTTAATGTAACCCAGCCTAAGTTTGTATTTTGGGTCAAGAAGTAATAGAATCAAGGAAGAAGCTGCCATGATTTTAATTCTTGGAAGAATAGTCATGTTGTAGGCCTATAGTAAAAGTAGGCTTGAAGTGGACTATGGAGCCTTCAGCATTCTGCTGGCCATGAGACCTCTCGGAGATGAACTTCTGTAAACTATAGAGCTACAACTAAGAGGAGATGAAGTGAGCCCCCCCATTTTCTGCCTGGAGGCCTGGAGAGGATGTACTAGCTGCAGCCCAAGGTTCATTTCCCACTCCCCCACCCAACTCCTTACTGAACTTCCATGCTTGTCAATCTTGTAAACATAGTGAGTCCAACATTGGCTACAGTGTGCAACAAAAGCATAGTGTGTAACACTGGCTCTAATATTTAACCAATGAAATGAAACATAAGGAATGAGTAGCCGATCGAAGCAACATAGCAACAGGCTCAGAGACCTGTTGCTATTCCTAGCCTTTTTGCTGCCTTTGAGGTGAAAAGGGCACCTGAGTGACCTACTTAAATAAGGGTTATAGATTTCATAGACATTAGGGCTGGAAGGGACCCCGAAGGAACATCGAGTCCAGCCCCCTGCCCCAGGGGCAGGAAGTCAGCAGGGGTCATAGGATCCCAGCAAGATAAGCATCCAAATTTCTCTTGAAGGCGTTCATAGGTGCTTGAGCCACCTCTGGCAGCAGTCTGTTCCAAACCTTGGGGGTCAAACAGTAAAGAAGTTCTTCCTTATGTCCAGCCTGAAATGGTCACAGAGGAGTTTGTGACCATTCGATCTTGTCATCCCTTGGGGTGCTTTGGTGAACAGATGTTCCCCATATCCTGATGAACATCCCTGGTAAACTTATAGGCAGCCACCAGATCACCCCTAAGCCTGCGCTTTTCCAGGCTTATGTAAGCAGAATACAGAATACAACTCAGAATACAACTTAGAACAAACATGTAACCCGTGCAGAGCATTGCTTTAGAGGCCTGTGCACACATAGGAGATGTCTGTCATGGATTATGGGAGTATTTAGGGTGCAGGCTGCCAGGGGACCCCCCAGACCCCTCACAGAGTGAGAGTTAGCTATATACTGTGATGCAAACAGCAGGAAGAATTGATGATGGAGGTAGAGCAGCTGGTGGAGCCATAGGACAAAGAGAAGACACTGGAACACAATTTAGCATAAGCTAAATTGTCCCAGAGGATGAGCTGCTATTCCCAGAATATGGAGGTTAAAAAAATTCAGAAAAAAAAAGTTGTGTAGCCATAGGAAGCACTTCTAAGGAGGATTTTCACTCGCAGTCTTATTCAGTAACAGTAATGGTCTTTACCAGGCATAAGAGTGGAGACAGTTCTTCTAGAGCTCCTTTTGGATGGCCATAGAATTAGGGTCAGGCACTCCCAGGGGAGTTTCAGCCTAGGCTTCATTTGAATGAATTTGGCTCATACACCACAGGAATCTGGAAAATTTTCTGTTTACTTGTAGTAATGTGAAGCTAATCGTGTAATCAGCATTGCTTCACATTCCAGAAACCTTGAAATGATTTGAACTGTAAATAACTTCCAGAGTTTATCTGATGAGAAATGGCATGGAGAATAATAAAATGGTTACTGTACCTGATAATCTGGAAGTTCAAAGCTGTACTTGCCTACAATGAGGCAACTGTGCTTTCATGGAAAAATAACAGCCGTCCTTCTTAAGACAGACAGTTCTGTACTCTAAGAACAGATGGTACTAATGCTGAAGCCAAAAATTCTGCTGTTCCCTATTTATTAAACTGACCAGAGGTGACCATAAGAATGGCAGGTGTTCTCAAGTAAACACATTAGCTGTGATGTATGGTGTAGCTGTGCCTACTTCTCCTTTACACTAAGGACTTTTTACATTGCCAGAGAGTTCAAAGAGGCTTTAGTGTAACTGTGAATTAGGCTCTCCCTGTTTCCCCTGCCACAGCTATCTTTAAATGACTCAGGAGGTGGCAGAGGCAGATATGTAGTCTTTTTCTGAGCCTGGCTATGCTAAATTCATGAATGATAGATCTATTAATGGCTATTGAACAAAATGGTTGGAGATGTTTCCTCTGGCCTCTCTAAACCTATAATGGTGGATGCTAAGGAGGGTATTGAACAGGGTATAGATCGCTCTAAAGATAGGCCAGTGCTCTCCCTGTATAGCATCCACTTCTGCCACTGTCAGAGACAATACTGTGCTAGATGAACCATTGGTCTGACCCAATGTGGGAGTTATGTTCTTAAGTTTTATTTTTCTTTGTTCTTCACTGTTCACTCCCTGCAAAAGCCCGACAAGTGCCACCTTATGCAATCAATACACAGGATGCTGGTCTCTAAGTGAGTTTGTACATGTGCTCCAGGGGTGGGGGGGGCAGCACTTTAATTAGAACAGCTCTGAGAGCCACTCTAATTAAAGCGCCCACAATGTCTTGTGTATCAGTGTCCCTGCACTTCAAAACTGTGGCAGGGGTGCTTTATCTAAAGCTTGTCAAATGAGCTTTAGTTAAAATGCCTCTGCCACCATTTTGAAGTGCAGGGATACTGGCACACAAATCATGGATTAATCGAGACTGCTCTGATGTGCTGTAATTACAGTATTTCAGAGTAGCCTCCTGACACATGTACAGGCACCCTGTCTTCACTGCCAATTTATGTGGAATTTAGGGCTCCCGTAGACCCATGTGCCCTGCTCTTCTACAATGAGAACCCTTATGCCCAAACACTGGAAGTTGTCTTGCCCAAGTCTGAAGCTCTGTTTTAGGATCTGGAGTCAAACCTCCTTGCCTGCCCCTCCCCACAAAGTGTGTTCACTACCTCGGTGACTGTGGTGGACTGCAAGTACAAGAAATCAATCAGTGGTAATACTACAGTTCCCTGTTCCTGACTTCTGGACATTTTACACACAGATCCTTCTCTCCACTCCGAACAGTTAGACCCAAGCCTAGAGGGAGAGACAGATAATGAACAGACTGGTGCCTAGAAGGGGAAGGAAAGGAATCATTGTGTGGAGTGACTACCAGGTAAGCTATCAATGAGGAGGGACTGCTTATTTGGCTCAAGCTATTTGAGGATGACCCTCAGGGTCGTCCTTAAATAACAGTCTAGAAATAACCTAAGAATGGGTCAGCAGCAGATGCTATAATAGAAACTCCCTCCTTGTCTGCCTTGTACAGGTGCATAGTCCTTAAGAACTGCTTATATTCTCTCTGAAGCTAATGGCAACGCTCCCATGATTTCACTGTGGCAGGCCCACAGTTTTCGCCAGACCAGTGAGTAAGACTTTGAGCTTTTCTGTCAAATCTGCTGACCAGGTACACTATCTGTCAATAACGATTAAGGAAAGTATTTGAAAGTGCTAGGGTCAACACATAAAAGAAACTGAGAATCCCACGGTCTTAGTGAGAGCTCATTTGTTTAGAAATACCATGCATCTCAGGATTCAGCTTGGGATTTTGAAACAATAGTCTATTCCTGATGTTTAAGTCTCCTTTTTAGTACTGTAATATAATATTAATATGCAGAGAAAAAAGGAGTCAATGAAGTTGCTGTTTCTGAAAAGAACAATTCCTTTTACTTGTGTCAGTTATTTGATATGTCTGTTTTAGATGTGTCTCTGAAAGGAGAATATGGCTCTTCAGTGGGAATTTAGAACACGTGAAGTGCCCATCACCATCTGACAAGTGCAGTTATGCATACCCCATAATCACTACCCACAAATGCAGGGTTTATTTGAATGTCAGCTGAGCAATGTCACATACTGTGTTTCTTTATCTTTGTCTGCAGTTGCAGGAACATTGAGAAACACAGGAACATATGCCACAGGAATTAGAATTTAGCCCTTTGTGTCTTAACTGCCAAAGAATGGAATTTGTTAAATTGCAGAAGGTATTTTAGATTCACTAACCAAATCTCTTTGTTGTGAAGCAAAATCTTGTTGATTATTAAGTAAAATTGGAGTTAGTGGACTCTATTATAAATGGGAGTGAGCTTTCTCTGGGTTACACTCCAGGATGCTGAGAAAATCACTATGACTGGAGAAATTAAAAGTTAAAGGACTCATGTGCTAGTCTAAACCAGGGGTCAGCAACATATGGCCACATTATGCTGTAAAGAGTGAGCAAAATTGATATAGATTCAGGTAGAGTTCCTGAAGCCCTGTCTGCTTTGAAGGAAAAGTATCAGTTCTGGCAGATTTTCCCATCCTTTGCATACTTGTTAGCTTTTCCAGTTTTGAAAAGGAAAAAAATAATTGAGCATGACCCAGACTTCCAGTTAGCTGCTTTTAATTAACCACATATTGGGTCCTTCCCATACAGATCAGAATCCAAGAAATCAAATTTGATGTAATCATTTTGATGCTTAAAGCCTTGCTTTGTTTTATTAAAAAAAACCAACAACTGTTTTCTTTTATTTCAGCAATTTGCTGTGTTCAATAAAGTCCTCACATTTGGAACTGAAGAAGGTGGTCCCCAAATGAGTCGTCCAAAAACTGGCCATTCTCCTTGCACATAAGCTGCAGGAGCAAGAAAAAGAAATGGCCTGCAATTCATTTTCTGTGATCTTCTAAGAATTAAGGCAAAAGATAATCACTGTGCTCCCAAAATATTTTTTTCATTCAATAATAAAAAGCCTGGGTGAAGTTTTACAAAAAACATGACACAGATCTTTTACGTGTGTAAATTAGGGTCACTTCATTGACTTCAGTACAATCACAGTAAATTACAGCAGATGAAGATCCAGGTGCCTAAATTCATATTTATGGTATCTGAGTGAGTATACTGCTTTCTAAAGTGGTCTGAGCAACCACCACTGTGGTTTGGCCTTTTCATGGTAAGAAAACAACACTTTATGGTACTCCTACCTCACCAGATAATTGTTTAATGACATGTCTGTGATGGCCCTTGTTACTTCAAAACTTGCTTATTTTATAGTTTTAACAAGACTTATACTCCTTCACAATGCTGATGACTTAAAATGGTCAACACACAGAACTCATCTGTAAGTGAAAGAGCTTCTGGGTTTTCAGACGACAGCCTCCCACACCAAAGAGAATACCCTGAGATTTGGAAGAAAAGGAAAAGTAATCTCCTTAGAGTCAGACTGTGCAACACAGCAACTGAAATGGGACATAAAAGAAACTTGGTTCCTGATCAGGAATGCTTGGCACCTTGCAACATCAGGTCCTTTGTTTTAATTTCTAATGTGACTCAACCAGGTCAGCTGTAGCCTGTGCTAAATATTAACAACATTCCACTTTTTGAAATGCCCCATTTGCTTTGTATCAAAACAAAAGAAAATATTTACTGACAATGATTTACCTAAAGTATCCAGACAGCTTTCTCTTTTTACTTTAATGTTCAAAATATGTCAGGTGGCGCAATAGGTTTTCCTCAAAGGTTTGCCATGGTTTATGCTACTGGCAGCTAGTAAACTATTGAAATCAGCTAGCTCATCTCAAACAAAGAATGGTATGATTCTCAAGGGGAAACATGCTTCAGCTTAAGTAGTTTAATTTACATGGATGAGAAGCTTCTTGACGTGCCTATTAGGGAATAATTTCACTGCATTCTTCCTTCCTGTACCAGTCATCTTTTGTAGAGCACAACATACTGTGTACAGAATATTATGACTATGACTGCTTTGATCATGACATTGAGCTGCCCTTTTTTTCCCTTTCCAGTTCCATGAAATGGAATCCTTGCATTTATTGCAGCCTGACTGAAGATTATACAAACATATTGGCCATGTTTGGGACCCTCAGCTCACTTACGATAGATTTCACCAGTGCAGCTCTGTGGAATTTAGCAGTCCCTGGTACTTTTGAGAACTGTGTGAAGTAGAAGCAATGAAGATTAGATAATTTATTTTAATCCAGGCTGTTCTTGTCTAAACTAAGGAAAAATTCCTATTCAGCACCATAATAAGTTAAACCTTTTAGATAACAAGGCATTTTACTAGTATAAGCAAATTCTCTTACAAGGCAAAACACAAAAAAATATTCAAGTTTTATTATGTATGTGAAAATGTATTTTCTTTTGTAGATTCAGATAAATTCATAGATAAATGATCTGGAACCTTTAGGGGCCTCGATTCTTCTTTCTAGTTTGTATAATGAATTTAGCTGATTGATAGGGGTGTAAGTACTGAAAGTGAAGGGAGAATAGGATCTTGTCTGTCTGTCTATCTATATAAACAAATACAATTTCATTCTGCCTTTAAGTACAGTTCAGTCAAGCTTTCACCTACTTTTCTACCCTTGTTATAACAATAATCTTCATATTTGCAGTAGTGAAATACCATACATTCCCATGGACAAAACCGGAGCTTAAAAAAAGCTCAAAAAAGATTTTGAACAGTTCACATGTCATACAGGCATGTAGAGGCTCATATTGCAGCGGGAGACAGAGATCAAATATTCCTGGAGCTCTGTGCATAAGCATGCACTAAATCTGCATGTGATTCTTGAGGAATATAGGTGCAATGCTGTACACAAACAAAGGAATAAGAGAAAGTTTTGAGAAAAGTTCTTTACTAGTACTTAGGAAATGCAAAAATAAACCGAGAAGAAAGAGAACATATGCAAATTTCCAAAGATACTTCAGATATCCAGGTTATTCATAGATACTTCAGTTATAAGAAGGAAAACATGGTTTATTTTGGTTTTTAAATAAAACTTAAGTGATTCACAAGATAAATAATATGCAAAACCCAAGAAGACAAATGGAATAGATGTGGATGATGCTATTATGTGATTCACCGGAGACGTGACATTGTAAAGGAGAAATATTATTTTAAGTCAGTGTCTTCAGCATATTAAATATGTTTGGATATACCACAGACAGAAGTGGACCTCTCCACATACACACATGTGCGCATGCACACACACACTTCATATATTTAGCGAACCTCAGTGTATCCTGTCCCTACAGAAATTCCCCAGAAAGATGTCCTCAGTATCAAGGACAAATACATAAGTGAATTGTTGAAGGGGGGCTGGAGTTTTCTCCAAATTATTCTCAACTTGTCATAGTTCTCATGTGGTTGGTCTAAAGGCACCAGTTCTACTCCCAATCCTTGTGGATTCTAGAAGACCTGCAGAAAGCTAGAGTCACAGTAACATTTGGATGTTCAGGCTGGCCCTAAGGCCACTGGAGTCCCCTTGTACTACAGGTTGTTCAGTCATGTGGGGCTGAGCTGTCAAGCATTCCTAAGACAGTAACTAATCTCCTTTGTAAGCTGGTGTTCCATGATTCAGAAAGAAGCCTTGCAAATATTAATGTTTCCATGCCGTGCATTAATTGCACTCCATTTCTCATGAAGCCCAGGGGGTTAGAAGATTATAGCATACTTTTCCATAGAATACTTTAGTGTAAAGATATTTTCTCCCAAACATATATTCCCTGAAGTTATTTTGAAGATCTGGAGAGAACTGTAATATAATTGATAGAGACAGCAATGTAAAATTATAGTCTGCACATAATTCAAACTAGCCAAGGCAGGGATTATGTTTATTACCGATAAGGCTTCAAAATTACATCATTACACTTTCAGAGTTGCAAGATACATCAAGGTCAACTATAACAATGAGGCTAATATTTCAAAGTGCAATGTTTTCCCTGGGAATTACTTAGCTCATTTTGTTAGCAAAAGTATACTCTAATAACATACACTGCCCTCTACACACGCAGGTAAATGCTAGGCCTGTGCAAAGCAGCTAGTATTCGCTTCAGATTCAGCCGATTCAGGGGACAGTGATTCGATTCAATGATTTGAATCACTGTCCCAAACTGATTCAGCCAAATCTGATTCAGAGATTCTGCTCCTGCCAAATCTCTGAATCTCCAAGTCAGCCAGGCCCATCCCCCACCCACTCTCCCAGCCCGGCAATGGCTGCCCCACCTGCCCCAGCTCCCGGCATTTGGGGAAAAAAAGCCCCAACTCACCGGATGCTGCCAGGCAGGGAGTGATCCCTGC